ATATTTTGTGGGAATTAAGAATAGAAATTTGCTGAAACTGATTATAACTTACACCTCTCACTAAGACATTGATAAACCTGAGTAAGCTGCAAGCCTTTATATTCCATCACAAGTGGGAACGTGTCCAGATACCACTTCTACAGAGAGGACATTATTCTTAATCCTCTGACCACTTGTTAACAAACATCTGAAATTAAAACTGAAAATCAGATTTTTATGTGGTACTGAGCTGATATTGCTTTATTGCTTACTGTATGCTTGTTTCAGACAGAATACTACTGGCTAGATATACATTCTCACTTTTTTAAGTGACACATTGGCATTTAAAGGTTCCGAAATGAAAAAAAAACTTTAGGGAGATGAAGTCACTTTCTAATAACCCTGAACACATAGTACAACTGAGTTCTCTAGTGTAGATCAATTGAAAATACTACTGCAGAATAGTTCATTGTTCCAGATAACTGCATAAGAAATAGAAACATTCCTCCAATGTGGTAGACTGCTCTGGTTCAGTATTTTGATGCATTAGCAAAATAATAAAGAAAATGCCATACATTACCCATGCTACACTTCACTTCAATGTATTTTCCTTGTAGTGTATGTGGCCACTGACTTAAAGCTCTTCTAAGTTTCTAAGATGACTCTTAGTTTCCTTTATGACACAATAATGTTGATTTTTTAAAAATCATAGCAAATTTTGGATCTCTAACAAATATAACATACCTTTGATATTTCTATGTTAGAAGTGCAATTGCATAATGACCATTACAATTTCTGCATTTCAGAATCTGTTTTTGATCACCTATTTCTATAGAACCAGCACTTCGGGCAACTTTGGTGGTTGATGACAGAAGTGAGCAATTTCTTCAAATAAATAATACATATAACAGGCTGTGAGAAAAAAAAATAACTAAGAATTATGGAAACAATTTTGTATGGAACAAAATCCAAATCCAAGAGTAAGTTAGAACAAATCAAGTCAGATCTGACTAAATCTGGATGCACTGTAGACTGATGGAATTAATGGCAATGTGTAATGAAGTACAACATTGAGGCATCTAGCATCCAATATGCATCATTCAGCCTGATTTGATAATCAAACCAAGTGCTATTGTTTCAATAATTAACCTTTTGAAATTAAGTAAAATCTAATCTTTCTTCAGAAAGAACACAGTTAGGTCAGTCGATTCATTCTTGTGATTACCTAGTATTCTGAAACTCATGAGTTAAGCAAAAGCTGACAAGATTGCAAATCTTCACAATAATGTATTTCCTCCATTTTGCCACTTCTACTTAAAACGTCAAAATAATCTGCAAGGACAGCTTGAAAAGCGTGTACTTTTTGGTGGATTCTTGTGATTATCTACTGACTTAGTCTGTTAACTCTAATTTTTTTTGATCTAAGAATGAACATGATGCATAATGTGAAATCCAAAAATAATCTAAATGAACAGGAATTTTTTGGCAAGGAAGAAGTCAAATCTTGGGATGTTCATTTGTGAGTAGAAAAGGCACATGTCTTAAATTGGAAAATTAATTTCATTTTGGAGCCTGAGACAGTGATCGAGATGGAGAAACCATTTTAATGGCCATGCGACACATTTTTGCTATACATGGGTAAAATTGCTTTCCTTCTTCCAGGGCTTGTTTGGGTGTAAAATAGGGTGCAATATTTATCTTGGAGGAGCCTGATTCTGTAAACTTCAGATTAATTTTAAAGCCCCAGGTCTGTCTATTTTTCAATGCTGCAGTGCAAATGAGACAGTGGGGATGATTTAATGAAGTGACTGAGCCATTTGATTCTTCCACATCCAATTGAATGCTGATCTTGCTTTTGTACACCTCCTGTGCAACGGTAACTTTGTATGCCTCGCTCTGTGCCCTCTATGGTCTGTATGTCTGCTGCTTCTCGGCCTATTGGCCCATCTGATCAAGATCTCATTGTACTCTTAGATAATCTTCTTCACTGTCAACTACAACACCAATTTTCTTGTCACCTGCAAACTTATTAACCATGCCTCCTATATTCACATTCAAACCGTTGATATAAATGGACCCAGAATTGATCCTTGCGGCACCCTGCTGGTTACAGACCTCCAGGCTGAATAACAATCCTCTACCCCCAACCTCTGTCTCCTACCATCAAGCCAAATTTTTATCCAATTGGTTATCTCTCCCTGGATCCCATGCAATCTAACCTTACTAACCAGTCCTCTATGTGGGATCTTGTCGAAAGTCTTGCTCTGCCTTCATCTATCTTCTTGGTAACCTCTTCAAAAAACTCAATCAAATTTATTAAACATGATATCCCCTCACAAAGGAATGCTGACTATCCCAATCAGTCCTTGCCTTTACAAATACATGTAAATCCTACCTTTCAGAATCCTCTCCAACAACTTACCCACCACTAATGATTTGACCGGTCTACAGTTCTCTGACTTTTCCTTGCAGCCTGACAGGACACTTTTTGAAGAAGCACAGGACAGTTCTCTGGGTTTGCCAGCTGACAGATGTCCCTTCAGCAATATCACTAAAATAGACGGTTTGGCAATTTATTTCATTTTTATCTCCTGAAGCTTTCAAGGTACAAATTGACTGCTGCCTTTGCAATGCTGGTACACTTGGAAAGATGTATAATTGACTATAATGTGCTTTGGAACATTTTGAATACGCTTTTGTTTGCTACTTCTAACAAAAGAACCCTAAACCTTGCATCACTGGAAAAAACTGCTATGCAATTCATAACTAAGGAAAAAATTGAATATCTTGGCTCTTGAAATTACTGTTATATAAAAAGGCTAGAGATAGAATTATATTGAAGTAAAATAGCACTTTCTCAGCCACTTGGTGATACCTCTGAAACAATGATGTGCTGTTTTAAGCATCCCATTACATTTGAGAACTACTGCACATTAGGATTTTCAGCGCCTAAAAGGCTATTCAATTGAAACTTTCAAGACCTTTTTGTTAAGTAAACATACCAAGGCACGTAGAGAAAAGGAGGGTATGTGGTTTGAAGTACAGATTTGTCATGATCTCATAAAGTGATGGAACAGGGATGAGTGGCCTACTCATTTCCATGTTCCAGTGCCTGTGAAAATATATGTTGATAAATATTTCAGTGTCTACCAACATACTAACTCAGTGGTTATGAAAGATGTTACATCTTGGATTAAAGGAATACATTGGCTGAACTGTTGTTCATAATAATCCTAGTGAGAATCAGATTGATAGCAACAGCATAAGTTTCAGTCCTCCTCCCAGCTGGGGGTCTCACGACCTGTTGTTCTACCCATGGTGGAGGTTGTGGTGCTGAGTGTTGGACCTGTCTTTGGTCAGAGAACTGATGAAGAATGCTAATCATGGCAGAATAATAAAGATGTAGCCAAGTGGCATCTATTTCCAATGGAAAATTAGTGACTGATATTTCTGCTTCAGTTAAATGGATCGCCAAAGTTTTACTGTGTCTGTGTAGCAGCTGCAGGTCTGGATAAAACTAGGGATGTTACACTTAAAGCTTGAGTGTTGACATGTATTGATCTGCAGATAATTAGTTAATGAAATTATAGTTTCAAAATATTGTTGCAGTGCAGGTATTATTGTGATGACTACCACTTGATAGGTGATCGCTTTGGAGTTATGTGAGATGTGGGTTTGTTCAGTGCCAGACTGAAGCTGAGACAGAAGGAAGTTTATAAAACACCCTCTTTATTTGATGACTTTGGCTTTTTATTTCATGCTGTAGATG